TGAAATGGAGAACGATAAGTACGTCGATTTCTTCGAGTCTATTATTTTGTTCTTGAGATTTTCTACGTGTTTATGACTCCTCTTTTTTTTTGTTTGTGTGCAGATGTCCCTGCTTGAAAAATAGCTCCTCCCCCTCAGTCGTTGGTGAACTTTGCTGACCTAGTCACTGTCTGGAGATTTACTGGTGCTGACGGGTTCGGCCGGGCTGCCCACATCCTCCTTTATTATACTCCCGGATATAAAAAGTTTTCACAGCTTCCCTAGTCTTTCGAGCCTTCGCGGTGGTTTGAACTTTTCGATCAGGCGGTGAGGCAAGAGGTCGAGGAGAACTTGGAAGAAGACCCTGACCGAGCTTCGGAGGCAGAAGTAGAGGGTGAAGTTGAAGAGCTCGGGGTCAGAGAGGACTTGGTTCCTTCGCACTCCAAGGTGGGGACTTCGGGGAGAGATTCGTGGCCGACTTCCAAATCCTACAATCTCTAGACGCCGTGGACGCCCTCGAGGTAGCTATGTCCAGCACGCCCCACATTGATCTAGGATTCCTGAGGCAGAGGCAAGCCCTCATTGCTGGGAGGGGACGAGGATCGATCGATGGGGCCTCATCTGTAGGGACCAGCGCCACCCCATCCTCAAGAGTTGTCAGTCAGGGTCAAGTGCATGACCGGGATCCTCAGGTAGAGGAGGAGAGGAGGGTCAAACATAGGCACGACGGCCTTGGCAGGGGATCCAGGGCCCCCTCCGCTCAGCAGCAAAGTCGGAGAGGCCGTGGGTTACCTCCTGCTCCTCAGCAACAACAGCAACAGCAACAACAGACTCCTCCTCCTCTTCCGCAGACAGTGGAAGCCGCGGAGTGGAATCCTCGAGTCACTGATCACATGAACCGAGTGATCAGGGTTTACGACTCCATTTTGCAGGACCCCCATGTCGCCAATGCAGTGAGTGAGGCGCTGCATTTCGAGGCCGACATGGTGGCTCACAGGGGGCGATCAACGAACGTGTTGTTTCGCTCTATCATCAAGAATTTTTTGGTGGTAAGTTCATTTTTGCTTTAGTCTTTTTTAGCCGCTTTTCTTTTTAGTGACATGTCCTTTCCTTTGCAGGCCACCCAACAAATTTTTATAATAGTGGCGCGGTATCATGGGGCTAAAATGGACCTTCAGCGGATTCGAGAGCAGAAGGAAGAAGCCGAGGGAGCCCTCGCCAATGCTAAGAAGGACGTAGCTGCCAGGGATTCCACCCTCGTGGGGCAGGCTGCTCAAATCGAGCAACTCCTCAAGGATGCCGAGTTGGCGAAGGTCGGCACTGAAAAGCTAAGTGTTGCTCTTGCCGACACTGAGAGGAGGATTACAGAGTAGACGCAGCGGCTCTCTGCGGCAGAGGAGAGGGCTGTTGGTTCAGAGGAAAGCTGTCTGGCTCTGACCCAGGAGCTGGACAGGATCTGGGCTGAGGCACAGAACAGGAAGTCCGAGGAGCAACTCGGAGAAGAGTTCGCCGATGACGTGTTCCCCGTTCTTGTGGAAAATAGCAAGGAGTTCTTCAAGAAGGGGTGGGTCGAGGCGCTTCAGTCTACTGGGATCCCGTCAGACTCCCCGCTCTTCCAGATGCACAAATACGTGCTCTCGGCGGAGATGGAACAGGCCGAAGCCGAGATTGCTGCCGAGGGCGCGATTCCAACGCCGGTACAAGTTTTGGCAGATCCGCCCGAGGCAGTAATTGTGGACTTATCTGATGAGGCCCTGCCGGACCAGGCCCCTGACTATAATATTTCTCAGGCTCTCTCTGTTGCCGAAGTACCTCCCACTCTGCCTGCTCCCGAAGCTGTTCAACCTTTTTGCGCTGATTCCTCCTCGGGCGATGTTTTGGAGATGGCCGGGGCCAAATGAAAGCTCTTTTCTCTTTGATTGTACTTGTTTTTCCTTGTAACTCTTGGGGACGCAAAGCCCCTCTTTTTGAAATAAAGCTTTTTTTTTTTGGAGTACTTTATACTTTCTTGCGTGCACTTTTTTTTTTTGTGTAGGAGTCCTTGAACTCTATCTTCAGGGTCTTGCCCTCCCAGGAGGCTTGCTCCTGTGTTTGTTTCGGAGGCAGGAGTCTTTGAACTTTGTCCCCAGGGTCTTACCCTTCTAGGAGGCTTACTCCTGTGTGTGCTTTGGGGGCAAGAGTCCTTGAACTCTGTCCCCAGGCCTTGCCCTTCCAGGAGGCTTGCTCCTGTGTTTGTTTCAGGGGCAGGAGTCCTTGAACTCTGTCCCCAGGGTCTTGCCCTTTATCTTTGTCGTTGGCAAGTACTGAGGGAGATAATACTCAAAAATAGTATTTCTTTAGATTCATCACATTCCATGGTCGCATTACAACTTTTTCATCCATATTTTCTAATCTATATGACTCGGAGCCTCCGATAGATATCACTTTGTAAGGCCCTTCCCAGTTAGGTCTCATTTTTCCTTCTGTTGGGTCACGGGTATTGGCCGTTATCCTTCTGAGGACCAAATCGCTGATTCAGAACTCTCGCGCCTTGACCCTTTTGTTGTACAATTGAAAAATATTTTCCTGATACTTGGTTATTCTCAAGGCGGCTATCTCCCTTCTTTCTTCCATTAGATCCAAATCCAGTCTAAGTTGACGGTCATTTCCCCTTGCGTCGAAAGCTTGGGTCCTTATGGTCGGGAGTCCTACCTCAAGAGGTATGATTGCTTCCATTCCGTAAGCCAAAGAGTATGGGGTTTCTCCTGTCGAGGATCGAGGGGTGGTCCTGTACACCCACAAAATGTTTAATAGCTCATCTGCCAATTTTTCCTTGGCTTTCTCCAATCTCTTCTTGATTCCATTGATAATTATTTTGTTGGAGGCCTCTGTCTGCCCATTGGCTTGGGGGTAGGCAGGGGTGGAATAGAAATTACGGATTTCGAGTTGCTCGCCAAAAGACTTGAAACGCCCGCCGGTGAATTGAGTCCCGTTATCCGATACCAGTGCCCGGGGAATCCCGAATCTGATGACTATGTTTTCCCAGACGAATTTTTTAGCATCTATGTCTTGGATGTGAGTCAACGGCTCCGCCTCAACCCACTTGGTGAAATAATCTGTTGCCACAATGAGGAACTTCCTGTTTCCAGGAGCCCTAGACAGAGGCCCCACTAAATCGAGTCCCCACTAGGCGAATGGCCAAGGGCTGGTCAGGGGATGCAAGTCCCCCGCGGGTTGCCTAATTGTAGGGGAGAACTTCTAACATTGGTCGCATTTTTGGACGTATGCGCGCGCATCCCTTTGCATTTGTGGCCACCAATATCCTTGGGACATGATGCGGTGTGCCATCGATCGCCCCCCAGAGTGCCCCCCGCATATTCCTTCGTGTATCTCATAGAGAAGGTCTTCCACCTGGTCCACTTGGACGCATAATAAGTAAGGTCCTAAGAAAGACCTTCGATACAAGTTCTGATCTGGAGAGACCCAAAATCTCGGGGCTTTAAGTTTTATCTTCCTTGCTTCCTTTGAACACTCCGGGAGGTCTCTTGTTGTTAGGAACCTGAGAAAGGGATCAATCCAGTTGGGCGGCTTGTGTGCGTCCTGGACGGCCATTGCCTCGGGGGCATGGTCTATGCAGGATGTGGAAAGATATTCTATGGTGATCCTGCGCGACTAAGAGGACTCCACTGCCAAGGCTAGGCAAGCCAGAGCGTCGGCATGCGTGTTCTTGTCTTAGGACACTTGTTTGATCTCAATTCTTCCGAATCTTCAGATTACAGTTGTCGTCTGGTGATGGTAAGCCTTCATCCTAGGGTCCCTTGTCTCAAACTCTTCGTTAACTTAGTTGACTACCAGCATGGAATCGCAATGCACGATCAAGTCCGGAACTCTGAGATGAGGGCCTTGTATTCAGCTTCATTATTAGACGCTTTGAATCCCAGCCGAACGGCCTGCTCCGCGACCATCCCATCTGGAGAGACCAGCAAGATACCGATCCCGGACCCCTTACTATTTGACGAACTGTCCACACATAAAAGTCATGGTGATCATTCACAATTCGTTGGAGACGCTATGTTGGTAGGAGACGGTCTTTCTAGAATGAGATGTTATCCTGAAAACTCAGCTATGAAGTCCGCCAATACCTTTAGACATAAGGTATGTAATTCACGCCTCATAGAATGAAATTGACTTTACCTCAATGTTGAATTTCTGGTTTAACTTGAAATATCTAGTGACAAACAAAATTTGTCTACTAAAAACAAAGTAGTCTAACAAACTTGAAGTATCATATCATATAACGAATGATTTTCTTTTGTTCTAACAAATAAGTAAAACAACCTGCTAAACAACATGCCGTATGTTTCTTAAAGCACTAATTCAGTTATCTCTAGATGATAAGAATAATTTCATGGCAAAGGTTATATCTCAGAGTAAGTCAATGATGCAGCATGTTTACCATAAGATTATATGACAGATCAAGACCACCGAAAACAGCACTGATCGGGCGCCAGTACGAGCTGATTTTGGGTGACAGTGTCAAAAACTCTATTAAAACCCTATTCCGGAAAACTCTCAATGAGTCGAGCAAGATTGTATCTTTCAATCCGTCGTTTTTAAGCCAAAAAACGATGTTTAGACCACTTTCTAAGTATTTTTATTGGAGATTTTAATATTTTCGTATTTATTGGAGATTTCGTAGTAATTTAGGATTGCTAGTTATTAGTATTTAAACCATGAAGGTTCTAATATCTCTTTTCTTTTCAATTGTCTTGGTAGTCCGCAGAATCAATAAGACTATTAAAAGTTCTAATATGATATTATTACGGTAATCAACATGTTATAACTTCTGTTGTTTAATCTCGGTTTTGTACCCACACTGCCTTGCATCAGTCAAGCACTTACAATGAAATATGCCATGGAAGTATCAATGGTCCAAAAATTTCATTGCACTCTTTAATGGAAGAAAATGCCTAATATGAACCCGAAAACATGGCTGCTATGATAGTATAAAAGGAATGAAATATAGGTATATGGAGATTCACTCAAACCTTTAGGGCATGGTGGTATGCAGTCCCAGGAATGTTGAATGGTTGTGCCCTCATCCCTTTGACCATGCCTTCAAAGTTGTAGCCAAGGGAATCCAGAAGGGGACCTGGCTCAATGCTAGCAAACAACTTGCCGATATTTTCAAATGTTACCTGCCAATAAAAGCTTTAGTAATAACTGAAACTTTGTATAAGGATAAATGTTACCGTTTTGGACTAAAATTGGTGACATGATGGGGTAAAGTAAAAAAAATTATAAAGTTCGAAAAACAAAATAAAATATTTTTTTGTTAAATAACTTCCGTTTTGGAAACGATTAGTGATTTGACTATTCATATTTATATTATTTCTTTGTACTACGAGTTAATCATTGAATAATATTATATTGAAGAGTTTTTTTTTTTTTTTTTTGCGGATTCAGAGTGTTACTTTTGATTTGATACATAAAGAATCATAGTGCTCTTTATTCTGTTGCGTCAATAACAGATTCAAATGAGGATTAATTATATGTTCAACCTACGTCGTAATTTATCTTTAGTTCTCCAGGACCGGTTATCCACGTACCTTCTTGGCCCATGCTTGGAGAGCAGCAGCGATGCGCGGCTGGACATGGGTGGCGATCCGACGAAGAGCCTCAGGCTGGTTGATGGCCATGGATAGAAATCTCCTTAACCTGTCATGACGTTGGCCAGAGGCTGATATTATAGAGTTGTGGCCTACAAGGTCATTGGTGGGCCATCTATATGGGAATTGATCATCTGACCGGAAGATGAACTTGGTGATGGCTGGGGAGCATGCCATGATACTTGGAAATCCAAACAGGTGTGTCCTATACATTCCCACTCTATCTCCATATCTAATCTCCAATTTTGCATTGAGAGAAAACAATAACTGTTAGATCGATGAGAAAATGAACATGTATAATTGGAATTGTGTGATGTTTGCTTGTTAGTAGTTTGAGATCAACTTGGATAAAACCTTGTTTGAATACGCTCACTTGAGCTTAATTTTAAAGTTCGTTTAATGAACAAGTCGACCTCAAACACTAGTTCATTTTTCTTATTTGCTAATGCATTTAGTATGTTATACGCTCTACATGTAATATAAACTGTGTAAAAAACTTGAGTTTGATCATGAGAACGAGTTTAAGTTTGAATACAAGGTTAATTTGGGGGCAATTGATTAAACAAGACAAGTTGAGCTGATGCCAAGTTTAGATAGATACAAAAAAAAATAAAAAGAAGCGAGCATAAAGAAGATGTTTGCTGCTCATCTTTATCTCAAGCACTCTTTTTGAGTGTTAAGAGTCAAGTAAACCAATTATTGTTCCAAAGACTACTCGCTTTATTTATTTCAAATAGCTTAAAAACAAATACGTACAGAATGTTGGGAATTAGAAGCAAAAAATAAAAAACTACTAAAGAGCACAAAAATAGAGGATGAAAAACTGCTCCACTTCCACACTAATTTCACTCAAGAAACATCTCTATATTTCATCAAATATGATCACAATATCAAGGAATACATGGGGAGCAACTTATCAGAATTTTTCAGCAGTAAACACTCAAGAAAATACAAAGAAATAGAGCTTCTGCTCATGAACAAACTGCTGTTTTTTCAGGTAGCAAACACACTGTTTTTCTCACTTTTTCCTCTCTATTTTTCTGCACAGAGACTCTATTTTGGGCAGTAACTCCGGCCCCTTTTATACTGATTTTTCCTAGCCAAAACACTCTAAATTTGGCCACTTTATGGCTGGCTATCCCCAAGAAAAAACTGTTCAACTTTCCATGCAACCATACATGAATAAGTCTCCCAAATACATGAATAGACTTCTCAAAAATATTCTGGACACTTCTGGTATATATCACTTCAAATACCATGACTTTTCAATACCCAAAAATACAAAAAAAATACCCCTTAAAAAAAAGAGTTTATAAAACTAACATCCCCCCTTAAACTCAATTCCTTGAGTTCTCATGCCTAGCATCATTTTCAATTTTCTAAACACATCATGCTTCAATGGCTTTGTAAAAATGTCGGCAACTTGATCTTGAGTCTTGCAATGTACCAAGTTCACTTCTTCATTTTTCACATGCTCTCTAATAAAATGGTAGCGCGTATCAATGTGTTTACTCCTTTCATGAAACACCGGATTCTTTGCCAACGCCATTGCCGATCTATTATCAACAAGGATCTCTGTGGGAATTTCTTGAGAAAATCCCAAATAATTCAACAAGTTCCTCAACCAAATAGCATGACAAACTGTTGAATTTGCAGCCACATACTCCGCTTCACATGTAGACAAAGTAACAATTGTTTGCTTCTTGGATGACCAAGTAAAAGCCGTATCTCCCATAGAAAAAAACAATAACCCGAGGTACTTTTCCTTTCATCCAAATCTCGTCCCCAATCACTATCCGAATATCCAACAAGTCTAAAATCATTAGTGTAAGAATAAAATAAGCCATCATTGAGTGTACCTCTAATATAACGTAGAATCCTCTTTGCTGCATTAAGATGAGTTTGATCCGGTGTTTCCATGTATCTACTAACTAAGCCAACTCCATAAAGAATATCTGGCCTCGTGCAAGTAAGATACCGAAGACTTCCAACTAAACTTTTGAAGTAAGTTGGATCAACATTTTCACCACTAATTCTCTTCCTCAATTCCAATCCAACTTCAACGGGCGTGTTCACCGGGTTGCAAGAATCCATCTTGAACTTCTTGAGCACTTCCTTTGCATAACCACTTTGAGAAATAAAAATTTCATCTTCTCTTTGCTTTACCTCAATGCCAAGGAAATGAGACATTAAGCCAATATCAGTCATTTCAAACTCCTTAATCATACTTCTCTTGAATTCATCAAACATCATTGGATCATTGCCAGTGAAGATCAAGTCATCAACATAAAGACAAACAAGTAACACACTTCCATTCCCATCCATCTTCATGTATAATGCATGCTCATAGGGACACTTTTGAAAAACATTCTCATGTAAATATTTGTCAATTCTAGCATTCCATGCGCGCGGTGCTTGCTTTAATCCATAGAGAGCTTTTCTCAACTTGTACACTTTATCTTCATGTCTCTTCTTCACATACCCCAAAGGTTGTTCAACATAAATCTCCTCTTCAAGAAATCCATTCAAGAATGCCGATTTCACATCAAGTTGATAAATCTTCCACTTGTTTTGTGCCGCCAAAGAAATCATCAACCTAATTGTTTCCAAACGAGCAACGGGAGAAATACCTCGTCATAATCAATTCCGACCCTTTGCTTGTAGCCTTTAGCAACTAACCTTGCCTTATATCTTTGGACTTCACCATTTGCATCCTTTTTGGTTTTATACACCCACTTCACACCAATTGCTTTTTGACCTTGGGGAAGACTAACTAGTGTCCATGTATCATTCTTTTCAATTGCTTTCATTTCTTCATCCATTGCTATTCTCCATTTCTCTTCTTGAATCGCTTCTTCAAAACATAAAGGATCACAATCCATGAATAGACAAAACAAATTCAAGTTACCTTCAAAATTTTCCGTAGATTCATATATCTCTTGCAAACTTCTCATTTTCCTTGGTCTTTGACTTGAACTTGAATCTAATGATGATGATGATTCACCTGTAGAAGATGAGGGGGATCCATGTGGAGGTGTCTGTGGCTCTCTTTGGACTTCCCTTGGTTCTTCGGACTCTTCTTCTTCAAGCATAAGTTCCACTTCAGTGGCTGAAATTTTTCCTTTCCAATCCCACATGTCTTCCTCTTCAAAGATAACATCTCTAGTCATGATTACTTTCTTGGTAATGGGGTTGTATAACTTGTACCCCATTGTTCTATCACCATACCCAAGAAAAATGCACTTTTCACCTTTATCATCAAGTTTTGTCCTCCTTGCTTCGGGAATCTTCGCATAAGCAATGCATCCAAAAACTCTAAGATGGGCTACACTCGGCTTGAATGAACACCAAGCTTCCTCCGGAGTCTTAAAACGAACACTTTTGGTTGGACATCGATTCAACAAGTACACTGCACATGCTACAGCTTCGGCCCAAAATTCTCTAGGCAATCTCTTTCCTTTCAACATGCTTCTAGCCATATCAAGAATAGTTCTATTTTTTCTTTCCGCAACTCCATTCAGTTGAGGTGTATAGCTTGGCGTGAATTGATGCACAATTCCATGCTCCTTGCAATAGTCTTCAAATAAATCGGAACTATACTCACCACCTTGATCGGATCTCAACCTCTTGATAAAATAACCACTTTGCTTCTCAATAAGATTCTTGAACTCCTTAAAAACTTCAAACACTTCGGACTTCCTTCTTAAAAAATACACCCAAGTCTTCCGGCTATAGTCATCAATAAAAGTAAGAAAGTAGCAATTGTTACCATTTGACATAGGCTTCAAAGGACCACAAACATCGGTGTGCACAAGCTCCAATGGTCGTGATGCTCTCCACTTGACTTCTCTTGAGAAGCTTAATCTTTGATGCTTGCCAAGAATACACCCTTCACATAACTCATCCGGATGATCTATATAGGGTAAACCTTTCACCATTTTCTTGCTAGATAAAAGCTTCAAGCCACCAAAATTAAGATGTCCAAGTCTCAAGTGCCACAACCAAGAATCATCTTTAATAATAGCATTCAAACATCTCATCGCATCATGTTGAATATTCAAAGGAAACATTCTATTCTTGGACATTTTCACATTAGCAATCAAATTACCACGAGCATCTTTAATTGTAAGGTGGAGATTCTTCATGCTAATATCATAGCCCTTTTCTAAAAGTTGCCCTAAACTCAAAATGCTATTCTTCATATCCGGCACATAATAGACATCCGAAATAAAATCATGATTGCCATCCTTGAGCTTAATAAGAATTTTACCTTTGCCTTTCACTGGAATGTTGGAGGAGTCGCCAAAAGTAACTTTGCCTTGCGCCACTTCATCAAGTTCTACGAACATATGCATCTGGCCACACATATGGTTGCTTGCCCCGAATCAAGAAACCACACGTTGCCATTATCTTCCTCGGATCCATCATAGGCCAGCAACAAAGTAGATCCCGCTTTATTACTTGATTTCTCAGCATAATTCACATGTTCTTCAACATTTTTACTTGCCCAACATTCATTACTATAATGCCCAAACTTGTGACAATTGAAGCATTCAACATTTCTCTGGTCAAAACTTTGATTGTTGTAATTACCTCTTGCTCTTCCTCGTCCTCTTCCTCTCGAACCATAAGAATTTTGATTTCTTGTATCATTAGTGAATTGACCTCTTCCACCTCTTCCTCTATTAGCGTAGCTTCTTCCACGACCTTCGTAGCCTCTTCCTCGATTGCCATAACCTTTACCTCGTGTTCCATTACCTCTTTCTCTTTGAGATGTACCACCTTGAAATTCTCTGTTTTCATCTTTCAAAGAAAACTTGGATTGAAGAGCTTGTTCAAGAGAATTTGGAGTCTTTTTATTAATACGCTGCTCATGTATTTCCAATGTCGCCATCAATTCATCAACACTTGTAGTCTTGAAATCCATGGACTGCTCAATGGCTACAACAACATGCTCAAATTTTGGAGTTAAGGTTCGTAGTATTTTTTCAATAACACGAACGTCATCAATATCTTCTCCATACCTTCGCATTTGATTCACAATCACCAAAGTTCTTGAAAAATACTCCGAAATTGACTCGGCTCCATTCATATTCAAACTTTCAAATTCACCTCGCAATATTTGAAAACGAACCCGAATTGTTTTATCAATTCCTCTATGCAAACTCTTCAAAATTTCCCAAGCTTGCTTCGAAGTGGTCGGGGAAGAAATCTTCTCAAAAGTATTATCGTCAATACATTGGTAAAGAAGAAATAAGGCCTTCTTATCCGTCTTCCTTGATTGCTTAAGCACTGCCTTTTGAGCAGCATTAAGCGCTTGCTCTTCCTCCGTAGTCGGCTCGATGTAACCTTTTTCAACAATGTCCCAAAGATCTTGCGATTGTAACAACACCTTGATTTGAATACTCCAATTCCCATAGTTATCTTTTCCCAATTTGGAAATTGGGGTTGAAGCACATTACTCATAGTAGCCATAAGAACCTGCTCTGATACCACTTTTGTTGGGAATTAGAAGCAAAAAATAAAAAACTACTAAAGAGCACAAAAATAGAGGATGAAAAACTGCTCCACTTCCACACTAATTTCACTCAAGAAACATCTCTATATTTCATCAAATATGATCACAATATCAAGGAATACATGGGGAGCAACTTATCAGAATTTTTTAGCAGTAAACACTCAAGAAAATACAAAGAAATAGAGCTTCTGCTCATGAACAAGCTGCTGTTTTTTCAGGCAGCAAACACACTGTTTTTCTCACTTTTTTCTCTCTATTTTTCTGCACAGAGACTCTCTATTTTGGGCAGTAACTCCGGCCCCTTTTATACTGATTTTTCCTAGCCAAAACACTCTAAATTTGGCCACTTTATGACTGACTATCCCCAAGAAAAAACTGTTCAACTTTCCATGCAACCATACATGAATAAGTCTCCCAAATACATGAATAGACTTCTCAAAAATATTATGGACACTTCTGGTATATATCACTTCAAATACCATGACTTTTCAATACCCAAAAATACAAAAAAAAATACCCCTTAAAAAAATAGAGTTTATAAAACTAACACAGAATAGAAAGATTTCAACCCCCAAGTGAAGAACTGTTATAAATAATGAAGAAAACAATATATTCAAATATGAAGCAACGGGAAAATAAACAGTTCTATATAGAGTGTACATTAATATTCTGAAGAGATATTTTTTGACCTGTGGCATTTAGAGTTGATGAAGTCATCAGGGCGGCGAAAAACTTTGAAGTACCAGAGGAAAGTGGGCAATTCACCAAGGAAAGGAATACCCATGTAACCAGGTGGAAGCTTTGTACCGGTAGCTGAAAAACGAGCCCTGAGTGTAACCATGTAGTATAGATCATTCCACCACCAGAACACACCAATGAGCAAAGGAAGAGCCCCCAAAACCCAAGTCAACCACCATGCAGCTGTAATGTCCATCTCTCTCTCTCTCTCTTGGAATTGGGGAATATAAAGTTAGCAAAAGATGCGAAGATTGATACCTAGTACATATTCGGCTGTATGACAAGATGCTATAAGACAAACATATATAGTTTTAGTTGGTTTGTAGGACCAGAATGATAAAGAAAGAAAAGAGATCGAATATCACCATGTTGTATCAAATATTAATTTGTCACTAGAAGAAAAAGGTGTTCTTACAGGAAATTGTACGTGTTAGATAGAGATTACTTCATTTTTGTTGTTTGTTCCAATATGCTACTAATCTGTCTTTGTAGAATGAGAGAGTATCTCCAGCCAAACATACCAATATCTTCTAGATCTATCTCATGTGCTAAATCACCAACTCATTTAAAAGTTTAAACTGTAAAAAAGGTTATTACATCAACTTTACTATAATGGTCTCCCTCATGTCTCAAGTGGTCCATCCATTTTTTTTGTGTAGAGTAAAGGAGGGGCATCACGTGATTCGCATGAAAGACCTGTGGGCTCTATCCTATGTCAACCCACTGTCTACTTTTAAAAGTTTAAACTGTTATAAAATTAACACTAATGCTAGTCTGACCAAATTTTAAGATCAAATTTAAAGCTCAAATGACATGACAGTTGACTTGGACTTCTTTGATTGGTGTTATGTCATTTAGGTCCCAATAAAAACTTTAAATAATCAACTGTCATGTCATTTAAGATCCAAATTTAATCACAAAATTTGGTCAGCCAACCGTTACTCTAAAATTAGTATCAATTTAGTAAGTTGTAATCATGCTTAGATCTTGCAGAGTCATTGTTTTCAGCAAAAACCCTCATTAGATGATATTTGAGGTGATTATCATTGCGATAGGGGCAAAAGTTTCATTCATGCATAAATTAGAGAATATACTATATAACTCAAATGAAATTTAAAAATTACAATTCAAATGCATATCATGATATCATTTATTGAATGTGTTAGATGAATGAGTCATATTAAAAAAAGTTGATGAGAACCACTCATCCAAAAAATGATATGTATTTATATTATAATTTTTTTTAATTTAATTTAGATTGTCTAGCATTACTCATAAATTAGTGCTTCATATCTTTTTCCTTAACATATAATCAGTGCTAAAAAAAAGTACACTCCAATGCTTTATCCAGAAAAGCTACTCTTTTTTTTTTTCGGAAGGTCAAGCTACTCTTTTTGGTCCATAGTTTCTTACCTGAATAATAGCATTCTTCAATGTCATGATTGCTTATGCAGACAAGACAAATATTTGCTTGACTACCTTAATCTGGCCATTATTCTCAACACTTGTTTGCCTTGAAGACCCCTTGCTTATAATTCACAACCTGTACATTACTCTGGCAACTTTTCTAATCTTTGATATTAGCATCATGTATTAGAGGTTCGATTTGAAACGATAATAAGTAGAGTATAACAAAAAATTTCTCCGAAATGGGCAAAAATTTTGTACCCTTGTCTCAAAGTGCATTATAGACGGGAGTCTTTAATTGAGATTTTCAATTATATCAAACAACGCATTCTCTGACATTTTCGTCAAGCCTTTTCTTTAGAGGGCAAAGTCTGTTGCTAGAGTGCTAGACAACACACACCAAGGAAGACATGAATGACCCGATATCACCCGGGCCATCTTGATGTGAAATTGTTTACAAATTCAAGTCTCTTATTTTCCCCTCCTTTATGAGTGTCTGTAAGAAAGGACGTAAGTTGTAGTATTTCCTCTTCAATCTCCAAAAATAAAGGGCCGAATTCAACAAGGCTGCAAGCAAGAAAAGCCGATCAAATCTATTAAATGAAGCCTAATCTAAAGTGGACAAACGAGAAGATCCGGCTCCCTTGATGATGAACCAAATCTCAAAACACGAGACGCTTTCATAAGCATGTATGAAAAATGAAGGGTTGAGAGAGACTTTTGCATGTAAAAAAAGAAGAGCAGACTAGACTAAAATTTGCTTTCTCGTTATAATGCACTACCTGAGGAAGTAAAACGAACTGACTCAAATTAAGGAAGAACATGGGTCGTAAGGTCTAATTTGGTAATCAAGGGGTGAGGAGATGGCCAGAACCTCGTAAAATTAGGAGTGGAGTGGAAGAAAAGAGCTAACAAAAAGCAACATAGTAATTGTTGACACGAACGTCCACGTAAGTTGGGTTGAACTGCATGGACCTTCAAGTCAACTTTTTGAGAGTCCACTTCAGCTCTCCGAAGGTTCAAGTTAACTCTTAAGGGTCCAAGTCAGCTCTTCGGAGTTCTAAAAATCCTGCAAAGAATCAAAATGGGGGAGGCTTCGGGGTCGCCCCTCCGATCATTAAGCCTGGTGAAAAAGATTGAGAGTGACAATTGAAGTCAGAGTTGCGTATATTTCATGTTCTTGCTGTGCTCTTTTTTATAGTTTGAAAATTAATTTCTCATGTAGAGTGAACTCGAAACTCTCTTATCCATTGTTCAAAGGTTAGATTCCTTCTGCCAGAGAAGGTTTGACTCCCTCTCCTGTTGATAGGAGATTAAGACCTCTCTAGGATGAGGGGTCTTAACCTAACCTTTTTCTTGTAAATAGAGGTTGCATATTTGGTTAGTAAGTTTTTTAATTTTTTAATAATTGATAATATTATCTTTTGGTCTTTTATCAAGGATCAATCAGGTCAAGTTGAGTTGATTATCAGAATTGACACAGCTCAAAGTTTTTTCCATCCAGGTTAGAGATTGACAGAGTTCCCAATGATAACTTTTATAACAGGCTGTCTATGTCAAGCTTTCACAGTGGTGTTAACTGATTTTTTCCCACATTAGTAACCATATCAAATTCGTATTTCCCAATGACTTATTCTTTACTTTCTATGATGCGCCAAAGAGTACTTCATTACACATCCTCCTTAACTTAAAATAAAGTGGGTTAGTTCACTAGATTCCTGCCACTATAAGGTCTAAGTCTAAGAAGAGTCATGTGCATGCATGCATCTTAACCCTGCACGCAAAAATATTGTTTCTGGGAGTCAAACCTTTGACACCAATGTCACAATGGCTACAAACTGAAGAGCAGATGGAACACGTTAATTAACAGAATCCATGATAGACAAGCACAACTAAAAAGCAGTTTGCAGACTGTAAAGATGACTACAAGCATAATTGCAAACCCTACCATTATATAGCTACTACTGGTTATAATTCTCAAAGTTTGCTGAAGACAATCTCAACCCCATCCACTGGCTTTGGGTGTGAAAGATAGCTCATCTCCGAGTTAGGATTGACCAGTTCGCACCTGAAATTGAATTAAAATCATATGTTGTCTACTCAAGAGTTTCGAACATTGAAAATTGTCTAATAACATGGTTCTTAAAATCATATGTTGTCTACTCAAGAGTTTCGAACATTGAAAATTGTCTAATAACATGGTTCTTACTTGTTTCCCACAGCCAGATGATAGCAAGCTGTAATCGAGCAAGCATGTTTCTGGCACAGATTCTTGATTCCCCTCCAAAAACTTGGTATTTCCGGGCTTTGCCACTTCCTGCGGATGTAATTGTTGATATTCAACACAAGAACAAATGGTTTGAACTACAAAAGTGGTTTTTATATAGGCATACATTCCATCTCTCTGGGTTAAAACACATTGGATTCTCAAAATTTTCTGCATCTGTGTGCAGGTATCAAAACCAACATATTGCCTTCCATCCTTTTGGAAATTTATGGCCTGCAAGAAGTCTCAAATTGATCACCAGAAAAGAAAACTACAGTTGAAAATTACAATTAGGGATACACTTGTTTGTATATGAAAGTGGATGCAAATAAGGTTGCTCCATTATGGTCTAAGTGTCATACTTTCAAGTCACAACAATAATCTCCCAGTATGTCGAAAAATTAAGTTGTATGTGTATATGTTAGAAAAAAAGCTGGTTTTAGAGTTTAATTATGTTATTAAGATGTGTTAGTGAGCTAGTGGTATGTTAATATAGTGGGTGAGTGAATTATATTAGAGGTAAGTTAATTCTCCAAGTAGTGGAGAAAATGGGTCTCAATGTTTTAATGGTTACAAGTGCAAATGGAAGTAATGATACTTTAATGTAATGTTAGGAGTCATATTCTCCTCTATTTCTTTTCATTTTATTTTTAATTTTCTTGACTCCAACAAAGTGATATCATATCGATTTTTTAATTGGAGTAATTCCAACAATATATCCAACTGTTCCATACCCAATAGTTGCGGTAACTTATTGCACTACCTTCTTTATGAATGCCAATGCAAGTTATTTTTTTGTTTTTCCCTCCAAAAAGACCTTGGAACAAAATCAAAATCAACAGGACAAAGCGAGAGCACCGTTCTAAGGGAGCAAAATCAACAGGAACAACGAAGAGCGCATCCCATTGTATTTGAGAAATCCACACACAAATATTTAACAAAACTCAACTCAACTCAATTTAACAAAATCTTGTCTCAACATTTATGTCAGCCAAGGCACGAAAAGTCATTTCATGCAAGAACCTAGCATCAAGATTTTGAAACCCACGTAAAGGCAAAAGAGAGAAAAAAAGAGAGTGGATGAAAACAATTTTCTACCTTTGTACTCAACATCTTTGATAGCTGTGCGAAAAACAATTGCTGCAACACTAGCCAACCTAATCGTTTCCTCCACCACCTGTGTGCAATATAGCATGGTTACAACCAAAAAAAGGAAGAAACAATCATAATAAATGATAGCATTTGAATTTATGAGTAATCCAAATCGGTCCATCAATTTCAAATTTGAGCGTGGTTCTTAGTGTGTGCGGGTGTGAGGTTTTGATGCTTTTATAAGACGTACACATTAGATAAATGATGAAAACGTACCTTAATTGTATATTTCAATTTTAAAATGTCTTTATATGTTATGTATTCCCCATCCTTGGTCTTCCTAAGGGGCATATTCTCTTCCTGTAATCGCATTGATATGCTCACAATACCATGTGGGTAGAAGAGGTGCCGGGGCCCCCCGGGGGGAACGTTGGTTCAGCTAAATCATGTTTAATAGCCTTACCCGAAGCTTTTGGAGAACATGGTTGTACTTGGCAAGATAATGAAGAGTCCACATTATTCCAAGGGCGGCGGATTTATAGCCTGCGACCACAAGGCTAACAATGTTATCGAGCACTTCAATCTCACTTAAATTCTTCCCTTCATCATCCTTGAAGTTCATCAACCCATCCATTAGGTCATTTGTAGCCTCGGAACCATCCCGTTTGTTTTTTCTCTTCTTCTCCATCTGCTCCCTAAAAATGGCCACAGCTTTCTTCCGACACTGCCACAATTCGAGTAGATAGTCTTGTGTCACACCAATGTGCACTACATTATAAGTATAGTCTTCTGCTGTTGATGACTCAATGTTTATAATATCAAGAATATATATCAATTTGATCTTTGCCCAGATACAAACAAAAGGAGGATGGTTACATAAATTGATAACTTCGAAGTGATGTGAATAACCTGGCCGGCATAGTGGTAAGAAGATTCAGGAAAATTGATAGGATAAGTTCTAATCCCATTCAGCAGCCCCTCAAACAAATCATCAAGGTTATCCAGAAGAGGCCCAGGCTCAAAGCTGGCAAAAAACTTGCCAATGTTTTCAAATGTTACCTGCAAAGCACTAATTGCATCATCATAATGAGTTCACATGCATGCGTGTGTGTAGAAACCGACAGAAAAAAGAATTGATGTGGAACTTGGCGTAACGATAAGGTTGCTTCATTATGACATAGAGGTCACGGATTTGAAGTTAATGGTGTGTGCATTTAACCCTCTTCAGACTTCGCAATGGCGAGAGCCTCGTATACTTGGTCCAAAGGGGTGAGATTTTAGATTTTCAAGTTATGGATATATTGCCACCCAAAAAAAAAACTGAAAAAATGTAGGTTAGAACGTAAAAAGAGCTTAATTTGAACTTTTTTGAGGAGTTCAAAAAAAACACTCAAATACTAATACTAAAAATGAATAGTCTAGTGTGCGAGTTTTTCACAACTATAGAGTATGTGAGAAGTCAAATGTTCGTAGTTTTACGCTCTCATGCGGAGAGATTATTTTTGCAACTCAAATTTAGAACGTTCAAATCATAATGAAGTAATTTTTCTCTTAAATCAATACTCGGTAGCGATTTTCACTCGTTTTTATTGTTGAAATGACTATAAATAATAATCTACATGGATTCTCTCCATTAAAATGTGAAGTAATAGACGATGGTTAATCCTTTTTTCATGGTAAACAATGGTAGTTTTTGTGATTAGCTTTTCAAAATAAGTAGCTCTAGGAAATATAAGTATTTACTCTACCTTCTTGGCTTCCTTGAATGCTATAATTCTACCCTTGCTAGACCACGATTGGAAAGCCGCGGCGACACGAGGTTGGACCATGAGTGCCACCCGACGGAGAGCATCAGGCTGATTAATGGCTCTTGAGACAAATCCTTTGAGCCTGGAATGCGATGCTCCTTCAACTGCTACCAGAGAATTGGTGCCTACAATTTGAACCGACGGCCATTCGAGTTTAAAATTAGACTCTGATTGCAAAATAAATTTATTGATGGATGGAGTATAAGCTATGATGGCTGGTGATCCAAAGAGGTGGGTTCTTGAACCCTTGACTTCAATAAAGCAAAGACTTTATAAGACAAAGAGTACCATTAGATCAAAGACCCATTGAAAAAAGATTTACAATCTAGCAATTATCATTTTATCAAAGCAAAATGTAACCATTATATATATATATATAAACTTACTTATCTTTATCTTATTATCCATTTAATTAAAGTTGTAAAAGAAAGAGAGTAAATCCCAACCCGTTTATGCAGTCATGTAGTGTTACTAACTAACAATAATGAATGGATAACCAACAAAATACTTGTCAGAAACACAACTAGATTCAAGTTCATTGGAACAACTACGTAGAGAATTTATCGGTCGGCCTTCTTGCACCATCTAGCTACCATCTATAGGTTTAATTGTGATCAAAGTCACAATTGGTGGCCTCATGTAAATATCATCTATGCCTTCTAACACGATTCTTGCCAAACTTTTTGCATATAAAACGAGAAGATGTACATTTGTGTTCAAGTTTGAGAATTAATAATTTTGGTTCCACGTTTCTCCTCAAGAAATATCAAAGTTTTAAGATTTTTGGGGTTTAAAAGCGTCACTAATCAAAATTCTAAGTGCTGAGACATGTTGGAGTAGATTGGATTTCAGTATTTACTCATTTAATTTAGGATGATGGCTGTAATAATTAGAATCCTACTAATGCAGCCAAACAGGTGCCTTGTTGGCAGGACCTGTACTATAACTGTTGTTTGAAATCTGAATAATGAATCCAAAGACATTAACTGCCTTCAATTAGATTCTCATAGATTTCACTCCAATCCTCCAATTTATAATCCAATCAACAGTGCTAGACAAACTTGTCTCCATTTTACCAACCCCAAGTGGGCCATTGAAAATTAGTGGGGCTCACTAAGTCCCACTAAGCATCCGAGGATATTGGTTGCACCATGTCATCTGATAAATAGAAGTTGGTAAGAGTAGCATTAATATTGTTTAATCAAAAAAAAAAAGAGAGATTCGAATCAGCATACAAGGTATAGGGTTAATCTTGTTTCTACAATTCAGGTAATGTGGAACTAACAACAAATGAAGGTGCAATATGAGAACGTGATAAATGAGGGGGCAATATGAAATCAAAGTATATAATTGGAGGTGCAATGTGAAAAGTTTGATAGTTGAAAGAATAATACGAGACAAGAAACACGTTGAAGGGGTCAAAGTGTAATTTTTCCTAATCCACATCAATTGATATTTGTAATGCTAATGTATCATAATATTGCTTAAACTCAATACATTAATTAAAATATAAATATAAAAAAGTCTTTTGACATATGTTGGTCAATTTTGTCACCTCAATAATTAACAAGGGATATGCTAAAATAATATTGAGTTTGGTGGCACAGTATGAGGATTAGAAACATTTGGAAGGAACAAATAATCTGTTTCAATGTTACGTTGTCTAAATAAAAATAGATGAGAACCCTACACCCGTTTCCTTAAACTAAAATATCAATTACTAACAACTTTTAAAAAAATTACAAAATTTTTTTTAATTAGAATGTATCGACGGATAAGACAAGTCCAAGAAAGTGAGTCTATTTTCAATATACCACGGTTCATTCACTTGTTCTTTTTTCGATGAAATCGACCCCCACATCTAAAGTTCAACAATATTCCCCTTACTTGTGCACTACATTGTGTTTCAATTCTTACCTACATGCTTAAACTTAAACTCATTTAAAATCGTAAGTATGCATGTAATGAACTCATTCAAAAAAAAAAAAAACTCATTCGTAAGATAATACCCCCCCAAAAAAATGATAGAGTTAAATCTGAACATACTCTAACTCAAAAAAATTAGCTCTATTAATTACACCTTTACCAAAATCTATTAACAAGATGTAAGAAAGAACCAATCTTTTTCCAAAGATCCCTTCTTTTGGGGTCCTTTCAATATTTTTCCGAAGATCTCTTGTTTTTGGGTCCTTTTTCACCACCACGCCTTCTATTTCTTTCAATTAATAAAAATTATTTTTATCCCTAATCTTTTCGACGCGACTCAATTTGATATCAAAGTCAAAGTTTGCATGCTTTGTTCCATGCCGTTTTTTCTAAGTAAGTAAGAAGAACCAAACACATAATAGATTGTGTATTTTTGTTTCAATGATAAATCTCTAGATGGAAACATAAATTTTTTTTCATGAAGGTGATCCTCGAAATGTCACAGTCAACCAAAGTTATTTTGTACAAAAACTCTAAACATAAAAAATAAAATGGTGCTCGTTTTTGGGTGGTACTAGCCCTTGAATGATGACTTTTGCAATGAGAATGCCTAAATCTATCAAAGGATAGTGATTTATTTTGTCACTATTAGGCCGACGTAATTTGAAGAATTTCACACACTGGGTTAGTTAAATTACACTTTGATCCCATCAACAATGATATAATTCACATAGTACCTCCAATTTAAGGTTATTTATTCCATATTTCTCGTTAAACTGTAACGCTTTTTACATTACATCATTAACTATGATTATTGATTTCACATGACCTCTATCATAGACATTGGAAATCTGTATTTTACTACATATTTAAAATTTGTTTTTGAAACTTAAATATTAGACTTTACGGTCCGATGTTGCTTTGACATGTATGCCTAAAAATTAGGTTGATAAATGGATTTTTGAAACTTGATTTGTGCAAGAAGAGGTATTGTCCCGCCTTTTCTTTCTTTATTTTTTTAATATTACAGTCAGAAGTATCAAGACAAATAGAAATAATCTCTCAAGTTTATATGGTCATCCCATTTCTGCTCTAGCGTAAGGCTCAATGATTGTACTCTAAGGGGTTCTCTTTTTATCCAATCTTCTCAATTGTAGTCAAACGATCCTAATTATAGAGCCCATTTGTCAATGTGAAATCTATTAACATTTAGACCTGCCGACAACATGAGACGCTTGACCCAAAAAAAAAAAAAAAAACAACAACAACATGAGATGAAGTAAAGACAAGTACCTCATCAATTCATGGTAAATTACATTCACCTCCCTAGAGGTTTGATCAAATAACAACGAGACTTATTTTTGTTTGAAAAATAACATTGACTACCTTTTTGCTTTGGTTGTTAGTAACAGATTCCCTCAATTGTCAGTTTGCAGTTAAAGGGACGTGAAATTTTACTGATGTAAATAACTCAATTTTTTTAAAATATCAATATTACCCTTATCATATCTCTCTTTTCTCTGCGCACCTCACTTCCGTTTTTTTTTTTGTGCATTTTTTTATGTGATTAAATATTAGGTTATTACGTAATTAAGTTTGTTTCCAAACGAAATTTTAGTTCTAGCACAAAATTAAATAAATTACAAGAATTTATTGGAGTTTTGAGATAATTAATCTAATTAAATGAATTAATCTAATTAAATGAATTAATTTAATTTTGGTTTGGGTTTGCGATAAGTTTGATTTAATTAATAAAGTTAATCAAATTTTGTATGAATTATGGATAAAATTAAATAATTTGATTTTAAAAATAAATATTATTCAATAAATAAATTGATTAGGTTTGGTTTGAGTTTTGTGACAAAATTTATAGAATAAACAAGATTTCGTTTTCATTTAGATTAAATTAATTAAAAAAAAATTTCTTCAATTTTGTTAGATCGATATGGCAATTTGCGATTGTATTTTATAAAATTAACTAATGGTCAATAAATAGATAATTTTTTGGGTTGAGGGCATTAAAATCATTTTTGTGCTGCTGTTAGAAAGATAGAATGGTCGTCACTGACGGGTGAGGTCAGTGTTACTTCTCAAACAAGAGGGGATTTCGTTGTTATTTGACCAAACATCAAGCGAGGTGGATGTAATTTACCAACCAATTTATGCCATCAATGAGGATCAGTACATGGGATATTTCTATAGTGTGTGTGAAAATAAATATCACTTATGTCCTTAAATTAACTCGAATTATGATGGTCTATTTAGAACTCAAAACAATAGTCGATACTGACTTGACCTAGATACCATTGTAGCAAAAAATAAAAATAATAATAAAGACCACGTGTACACATCGCTCGCAATAAGCATGAGGACATGCTGGCTAGGAATAAATTATTGTGTACTATCCTCACTCTATAAACTAGAACACTATAATGTGGCAAGTCAAAGAAGAGAAGGGAAGAGAGAGTTGAATCCGATCATCATCCTAAGTTGGGTCGAATTTCAGAGGATGAGTTTTGATTCAACATAAGGGCACCATGAGAATCATGTGATTACGAAACGACCAAAGTCACCTAATGTGAATTATAAGACTTTGTTAGGTACACGAGTGAAAATTAATTAGTGATATATCCAATAATGGATTCTACCTGTATTATTCTCATTGTCTAGTTGTATTGAGCTAAACTCCAACCCTCCAAACTTGGGTCCAATTTTTTTAACGTGTACTCCTTTTTCTCTTCTAATGTAAGTGTAACTTATGTTTAGGTTTCTGTTTAACTATAAAGGCAACAACTTGCATAGGTTTGTCCAAATAGCGAATAAAAAACGAGGTGTAAACTTGTATGTCTCGGGTTTAAATCTCCCTGATTACATAAAATCAGAGTTTAATTGACGTGTATGTTTAATAAATGATTATGCATACTCAAGATTAACATTATTACCAGAAGTCGAAAAGCGTATGATTAAGACAATTTTTATTTGCCAAAAAAAAAAAACAAATTCAACACATCAAACATATGAAAAGCTCCAAATACTTCGTGCTCAAAGAATACAATACAATACATGTGTTACATGAACAAACTAGTAACTACTTACTATGAGAGGTAATGAAGATGGAAATCGAATTCTTTCATTGCCAAAACAAAAAAAAAAAAAAAAGAACTATGAAAAAATTACCCTTTGACTCCCTTAACTATACCCTTTGACTCCCTTAACTATGAACTCAATTTTCCTTTGCTCCTTAAACTATTGAATTTTTTCACATGGCCACTCAACTATTAGAATTGATTTTACATTGCTCTAAAAAAAAAAGGTTCCTTTTCTTTCCGTCAGAAATTGTCAATGGGTTCATACAAAGTAAAATAAAATCAAATAGTATGGAGACATAATAGTGTCGGCTCAATAGTAGAGAATCTACTTATAAATAAGACCCCAAATTTGAGGTCAATAATGTAACATAAGCTAAAGATTAAAACTCAATACAATTTAGTTCAACAAAAACACTCCTCAAAGAGTAAGCTAACAAAAATAATTATAAAATTTGGACTCAAAACTCCAACTCACTTCACACAATCACATTTATTAAAGGACAAAAAGGGTTAACAAGAAGGGTAATTCTACAGAACCCAAAAAAAATCGGTGCCGTGTAGAAATTTACTATTTTTTGATGTTAACATTTAAAGGTGAAATTACTACTATTTAATTGATAGTATGACTTTGGAAGATAGTAGAATAATTAAACAAAAATATAGTAATGAATATATTTATAATAGTAGTAATCATGTAATGCCACAATTTCGATGAAGAACGTACAAAACAAACAAAAAGAATATAAAAGTATTTATGAGATAATAGAATACAATTCTATCAAAGTATTTAAGATCAAAAGCAGCATCATTGACATTTATCACTTTAAGTCTCATATGTTCTTGAGACGGCCCTAAGACAAAATAAAATAACTTTTTTGTTTAATATAGATGGGGCGTTAATCATTGAGACAATATAAAATAAATAATATAGTTGAAAATGTAATATAAGAAACACAGCGTTAAGGAGGCATGTGAGAAAAGAATCATAGCTGACGGGTCAAAATATAATTTATCCAAGAAATATTTGTCCTTCCAATTCCAATTATTGAATGAAAATTCTTCTTCCATCAACACCCGTGAATGGAGAAAAGATATTCAACCCTTTTGTCCTTGTCATTTTTGTAGTTCAGTGCAACTTGACTTTAATGACGTCTTTGTGAACCAGGTAATATTTGAAAATTCTCACATCAGGACAGTGCTGTCATGGAGCTCCAATCAGGAGGAAGAGCTCAAATTTTTGAGAAGGTTGAATTTTAACACCTAACTTCTCTATATATAACTTCATGTTAGCCCTCTCTTTTGCACTTAACATGCAGAAAGCCTAAAGCATATTGCAAACTATACAAGTTAGAGAGAGAGAGAGAGAGAGAGAGGGAGAGAAGCTGGTTGTGGAGAGCCATGGAGAAGAGTGACAAAGTTGCAGCAAGTAAGGAGCTCAAGTACAGAGGAGTCAAAGCCATGCCATTTGTTATAGGTAATACTTAAATACAGAACTGCTCATAATATTAGAGTACTTACCACAAGGGGCTGTTTTTTCTTCTTCTTTGAATTATTACAATGAATCATCAACTATTACAGTTAAGAGTATATGCCTCTATACATGAGGAGAAAACACTCAGGTAAGGATGAAAAGAAAACCCGAAAGAGGGCGAGTAGAATAACCCACAAAGAGGACAACATGAGAAATCAATTTTTAAGTTTGACAAGAATTAAAAAACTTCTAATTGAAAAAAAAAAAAAATCTTGAGAGAATCAAAGGAAGCCAACGCATCAGAGACGTGTTAGTTTTCTTCTTCTTCTTCTTCTAGCGTTGCTTCTTTTCTTTCCAAAACTCCAGGCGAGTGTGTGTGTGTGTGTGTTTCATTATGACCAATCTAAATTGTTGCAGGAAATGAGACCTTTGAGAAACTGGGGACAATTGGAACCTCATCAAACCTATTGGTTTATCTCACAACTGTCTTTAACATGAAGAGCATTACAGCAACTAATCTCATCAACATCTTCAATGGTACTTGCAACTTTGGCACCTTGCTCGGAGCTTTTGCTTCCGATACTTATCTTGGCCGCTATAAAACTTTGGGAATCGCTTCAATCTCATCTTTCTTGGTACGATTACTTTTACTTGCATTCTTTCCATCTTCAAACCAATTAGCTATCGATACAAGGATTGCACTTTAGTAGCGATAAATTATTTTTTTCTTGTCTTACTCCTTTTTATCCAATCAAAACATGGAATGTGGACACTTGTCTTATTTTATTATTATCGCAACGATTGATTAAAAATAGAACAAAACAAATCTACAGTTGATAATCAATTTTTTTACATGATATTGATAAATTATTTTTCGATATCATAGTATTATTCGTAGATACATATGCGTTCTCTTTCTGCTATTGGTTTCTTTGTGTGTGTGTGTGTGGTGGTGGTGGTGGTGATGATAAACAATGATGGATGTGTTTAAAAGGAGGAATGTTTTAACTCCATGTAAAATTTTATGAAGTGATCCCCTATAGTGTCAAAGAGTTCGTCACCGTCTCCTAACTTCTTTCTATTTTCCTAAAGGGCTTTTCGTATTTCGTATCTTCAAAGATTTCAAAATTTTTATTTTATATTCTCATAAATTAAATTTTTCACATTACACCTTCATTCTATCAAAAGTATTGTAACATAACCCTTCTTTTAGTTTATGTTATTTTTTTTTTCAAAAGTCAACCCATTAATAGTGACTAGAAAAATTAATAGAAAGCTAACAGAATTGTCACATTTTAATACATTGAAGGTGTAATATAAAAAATTAATTTTTAAGGGTACAAAGTGAAAATATTGAAATTTTTTAGGTTGCAAAGTGCAATTCCCCTTTTCCTAATTAACCCACGTAAAGACCAATAGAGAGAATCCATACCCTTGAGTAGAAATTAATCTGGAACAGTCCCAGTTTGTATGTATATAGATTTCTGTACCTAACCTGTTATAAAATGAATTTTATGACTCCTATTATTGTGTTCTACTTATTATTTAGGGAACAATGATAGAGAGATGTCACAGAAGGTGATTTTAAGTATGGGGGAAAAAATAACAAAACAACTTCAGAAGAGAGACTGGAGGAATCGCATTGATCAAACAATAAGAACACAGGACAATGAAATGGCTATGGGCATTACAATTCAATTTAGTCAAGTTATAATAAAGTAAGGTTGTTTGAGATCGATTATATCATTATATAATCGATCCTAAATTTTTTATTGTAATTTAGCACTATTTAATTGTAATTTAAAACAATAAGTCAAGGTCACGCCAAAAAATACATAATCGGCTAAAGATGTTAGTCTAACCAAACAAGTACCCGACTTAACTGAGAAAATATATTCTCTGATACTGTCTACTGATCAAGTTTTTCGATTGTTCAACAACAGGGGATGCTTATACTAACACTAACAGCAGCAATTACCAAGCTTCATCCTCCTCACTGTGGATCAGAGAGCAACACATGCACTGGACCAACAACATGGCAAATGGCCTTTTTATTAACCGGATTTGGACTACTCGTAATCGGAGCTAGTGGGATTCGACCATGTAACTTGGCCTTTGGAGCAGACCAATTCAATCCCAACACAGAGTCTGGCAAAAGGGGAATCAATAGTTTCTTCAATTGGTACTATTTCACCTTCACTTTTGCCATGATGGTGTCATTGACAATCATCGTCTACGTGCAATCCAACATTAACTGGGCTCTCGGGCTTGCAATTCCCACCTTTCTGATGTTCCTATCCTGTGCTTTCTTCTTCGTGGGCACGAGGATTTATGTCATGGTGATACCGGAGGGTAGTCCCTTGACAAGTGTGGCACAGGTTGTCGTGGCTACTAGCAAGAAGAGGAAGTTGAAGTTGCCAGAACAACCATGGCTGTCTCTGTTTAACCATAGGCTTGTTAATTCTATCAATTCTGAGCTTCCTTACACAGATCAATTCAGGTAACCAACCCTGTTACTGCCTTTTACCTGTCAATGTCATTAGCTCGTAGTAATTGTCAGTTCAAATCCAATTAGCTAGTAGTCCTCCAGGACTAACAAGAACCAAAATGATTTCAGATTTGTCAACAAAGCATCGATCATAACTCCAGAAGACAAAATCAACCTTGATGGATCAGCAGTGGATCCATGGAGACTATGCAGCATACAACAAGTTGAAGAAGTAAAATGCTTGTTGAGAGTGATTCCCATATGGTTTGCAGGTGTTATCTACTTTCTTGTTCTAGTCCAACAACAAACTTATGTAGTCTTCCAAGCCATTCAATCCGATCGACGCCTAGCCAACACCAATTTCAGAATCCCAGCAGCATCTTACACTGTATTCTCCATGCTAAGCCTCACGATCTGGATACCAATCTATGATAGATTATTAGTACCATTGCTTCGAAGAGTCACGAAAAAAGAAGCAGGGATTACAATCCTCCAGAAGATGGGCATTGGTATGGTTCTGGGCATTGTCACCATGCTTGTATCAGCTTTAGTGGAAAGCAGGAGGAGGACAGTAGCTCTTACAAGGCCAACACTAGGAATTGTGCCAAGAAAGGGTGACATTTCTTCCATGTCCAGTTCTTGGTTAATAGTTCAGTTGACACTGGTAGGACTTTCCGAGGCATTTACTGCTATTGGAGAAGTCGAATTCTTTTACAAGCAGTTCCCAGAAAACATGAGGAGCTTTGGAGGGTCTTTCTTGTTTTGTGGCAGTGCAATGTCAAGTTATTTGAGCAGTTTCTTGGTGTCGATTGTTCATCAGACGACAAAAAATTCAACAGTAGGAAACTGGTTAGCAGAAGATCTTAATAAGGGGAGACTGGATTACTTTTACTACATGATTGCTGGTTTGCAGGTGGTGAATTTGGGTTACTTTCTGGTATGTGCAAATTGGTACAAGTACAAAGGAACAGGAGGCAACAACGCTGAAGTGGACATGGAAAAATTGCATTCTGGAAAACCTCTTGCTTGAAAAATTCACAAATATGGTTTTACAGACTCTTCTCCAACTTCTTCACAGCATAAAATAGATTACACAAGTTTCTCTCACTTTGTTCAAGTTATTGAATCGAGTAGAGCTTGATATAGGAAGATATATATACTTCGTTTCACATACGAAAATAAAAAAATTCAGACTCATGTGACAAGCTAAGGTCCTGAACAGCTCACTAACGAAATACTGCATTTAAAAGTTCATTTAGTCTGCAATTTAGACAAAAATGGAATTAGAACAGTATAATAAAATAGATTGGACAAGTAGAAACAGTGCTGGTGAATAAGAAAGAAGGTGTTTGCAAAAATTTTGTGAACAATCTGTGATAATCCTACAACCAAACAGGAGTCAACATACCTTGCAACATTGCCTTTGGAATGGTACTGTTGGTCAGTTCGAGTGAACCACATAAAAGGGAAGGATAAGCAGGGCGGAGCCTGAATTTCACTTTAGAGGGGCAACATAATAGTAAAGTATCCATTAACTAATATTAAAATTTTAGTGCTTAAGAATGAGAAATATATTAAGATTTAACACTAAATTAATATATGAAAAATAAAATTATGTAAAAGCGGAACATAACTTTCTTATAAATTTCCAAAATCGTTTTAGCAATTTTCTTTCAATGTAACGATAAAAAAGTCTGTAACAAAATCATCGTTTATATAATTGCAATGCATAATTAAGATTAGGGTTAATCTTATTTTACATCATGAAAGATGCTCCAATTCTCAATTTAAACCCTTAAAGAATTGGATTCTCAAATTGTACTAGTACTATCAATGTTATAAAACAGATTCAATGTAGCCCAATTCAAGGGTGAAAGTTAAGATTGAGGGTGTAATTTGGGGCTACATTGAACTTGTGTTATAACATTGAGGGTGCAAATTGAGAATTGACGCATCTTTCAAAGTGCAAAGTGAAGTTAGACCTTGAGATTATCATCAATCTTATTGAGAATTAATTCTTTTATAAAACAATCTTTTGTGTAATGACATTCTGTCATTTGCATTTAATCGTGTTTTACAAGACTACAAGCCATTAACTTGTCAAAGAAATAATTAGGGGCTATGTACTTCCCTTGCATAAAATAGAGAGATTATTTCCGGTCCATGTATATGAGACGGAGACGCGTTTATTTCACGCAGTCCAAAAATAAAACATTTATTTTACTGGATTAGGAAGGCCATGAGGCACTCACATTCTCTTGGGAAGCCAAAAAAAAGATTTTGGACCACTAACAAAGTTACAAAATACAAGAGGGGTCAATGTTTTAAATTGAAGAGTATCTTGGTCACTTGAGTACTACAAGAATAAAGATACCAAAACTTGGAGTTGACATTTCAATGGAAAAGCAAGGTCGGATGTGACATTTACCATGCCTGAATAGTCACCGTAACTCTTCGTAAAGATGTATGTTTAGAACAAACACATCCAAGTGTGCACTCTCAAGCCTACTCGCATTCTTATTATTGAAGTAAATAATATATGAGGTTTCTATTAATAAATACTTTTCTTTGTTTCTCGCTTTCAAATCTGAGATTCTACTCTCTCTCTCTATATTGAAAACCCACCAATTATAGGATGAGATCGTCTTTATTAAAATTTTACTCAATTTCACTCGATACTAAATCACCTATTATTAACTAAAATTGAGTGACATCAATTTTATAATATATTATAAGATAATGAGTCTATTTTTATATAGTACAGTTCAATCGTTTGTTTTCTTTTGATGATAGCGGGATTCTATATAGAATATTTTATCATCGATCATTTCCAATAGTTGTCAGTACCAGTGCGTCATTATCCAATTATACAAAAAAATCATGAACAAATTTAGAGGGCTACTTTCTTTTACTATTGGCCTAACTGCCCCAAATCCTCTTCATTTTGGACAAACAAAGAATCTGTTTTTTGTCTTCAACTATAACACAAATACGAAAGGTCCTCCTCTTTAGGGTCTTTTTTAGGTTTTAGCACAGAGAAACAATCTCCTCCAAGCACATAACTCTGCACCTAAAGTGGCTGTTTGGATGATTTTTATGGAGGTGTTGGATTGATTGCATTTATCAAATGCTTTCAAACCTATATCCTTGTATACGGAATGAAATAATTTTGTCTATCTAATTTCATTTTTTGATAAGTGATATAAATACATATAGGTTCACAAAATCATATCAAATTATGTACAATAATTATTAATTTTTGTTACTTAATTGATTAAAATGTCCATTATTCAAAAAATAAGATAATGAATTTTTTAGTAAAATAGTCTTTTTCTCTACAAATTCAATATCTCACTTTTCACACCCATCTTTCCCCTTCCCCGCGAGTTCCATCAAAAACTTAATTGTGGGTTTTAGTCCGGTATTTCTAATGGGTCGGGATTCGAATCTCATGCCTCAAATTTTGAACTAAAAGATAAGTTTAGAAGGTGCACTGGACTACTTTTTTCATAAAATTTACCCTCTAAAACCCTTCCAAACCCACGTACTAAACTGGATCAAAGTGTGTTACATTTTCTAGTAAGAAACAAGCAGCAAATCCACCTACATCCGATCTCATAACACATGGTCTCTGACACAACAATCTCAACCCGTCAAAATCGAGTTGAGTCTCGACATAATACTCAAACTTTAACAAATTCAGTTTTTTTAACCCACTAAAACTTATTATTAATCAGTTATAACAAAGGACCAATCTTCTCTCTCTTTTTCACCTTCCTAAAAAGAAGGACCAATCTATTTTCAAAAATCCCTATTGTCTTGTGGTCACTTAATAATTATTTGAACTTGATTTAGCAATTAATCTAGTTTAAAATAACTTAAACATTGCAAAGGATTCAAAATTTTATCAACTCATTGGGATTACATGACTTTTTTTTATACTTAATGATAAGTTTTTAATTCTAGACATCTCCTATCGTTTAAGATGTTGCGTTAATATTTAACAGAATGTACTACGACAATTTTAACAAGTGGGTCGATCATTAAGAAAACAAATTCCGAATAAAGTTTAAATGTGCTAATATTTTTTCCCCCCAGTGAGCCATCTTTTCAAGGCCATGATGTGATGTTGTGATCACTGATCAAGCAAGGATTTTAAATGGCCGACACCCTATTTCTCAGGACCATGAAATCAACAATCTCAACCAAAAAAAAATCTCGTTGTCTTCGACACAACAATGTCAGGGACCCTCTATTTCTTTTGATCAATAAAGGTTGGCGATGTCTCTAATATCTTCTTCCCGAGTCAACGTACTGTGTTCACAAACTTGCATGTGTGTGTGTAGTTACAGTTGTTTTTGGGGAAGTAAGAAGATCCAAAACCACAGATGAACAAGAGAGTTGTGTAAATTCCAAATCAATGCTAAATCTTCCTGATGGAAACAAACAAGTCGTTTTCACGAGGCTGATCAGGAAAATCGGAGTCGACCAAAGTTGTTTTGAACAAGCAAAAACAAAATAGTCCTCGTTTTAGGGTGGCCTTGCCTTTGAATGATGACTTTTACAATGACAAATGATAAATCTATAAGGAGATTAGGCCGTCCTACTTTGAAGAATTCTAAATACTGGATTAGATTAGACAAATTACACTTTGACCCCTCCACTCTGCGCCACATCTCACGTGATCCCACTCAACAATTATTTTTATAAAGGTTTGGTACTCCACAAGGTGAAAATGCTCCTTGAAGTCATCTCCCCTAAATTTAACCACTACTCGTGGAGAGGAGACTTTGATGTGAGCCCAATTTAACTTCCGGCCATTGGTCCAAATGGGTTTGGTTGGTGGGGGGTTCCTAGGATATAAAAAAAAAAAAAAATTATATTTCTTACATTATACCTTGAATTATGATTATTGATTGTACCTCTAACTATGATTATTGATTTTTTTATTTTTATTTTTTGGGTCTAGATTATTGATTTTACATAGCCCCAATTGTAGAACATTGGGAATTTGTATTTTGTTAAATATTTGGAAAAAAAAAATTGGCCAAAATATGTGAGACGTTTGATTTTTGGGCAGTGTGAAACCGAAGTTAATAATTAAGAGAACAGTGAAAGCTGAGGGATTAAAGTGATATTTGGCCCATAAACGAGGGGGTTAAAGTGAAATTTCTCCTACTGGATTCAATCTCACATGTAGGCCTCATTCCTTGCCATCACAATAATTGAGGGTACTTCAAGTAATTAAGCGATTATAGGAATTTGGACATTTTAAATTTAAATCTTTTTTAACTTTTGGGATTAGACCATGATAGCTTTATACTTTATAAATACTTTATTTTTGACGTGAATAGTCTGTATTTGATCAGACCAAGAAAAGAATTAATCAAAGTGCATATAAACTAATTGAAAAATCTCTAATCATTAAACAAAAAAATAATAAGGGGGTTCGGCCATAGAAAATCCATGGCTGATCAGTGATCACAACATCACATCATGGTTTCGAAAAAAAAAAAAAAAGAGTTCACGTGGAAAAAGATTAGCATGTTTAAGCTTTATTCGGAATTTGTGTTCTTAATGATCGACCCGTTTACAAAAGTTGTCGTAGGACATTCTGTTAAGTATTAACATAACATCTTGAACAATTGGAGAAATTTAGAATTAAAAACCTACCATTAAGTATAAAAAAAATTTTAAAGAAAAAAAAGTCATGTAATCCCGATGAGCTGATAAAATTTTGCATCATTTTGCAATGTTTAAGTTATTTTTAACTCGATTAATTGCTAAATAAAGTTCAAATAATTATTAAGTGACCACATGAACAGGTTACGAATTTTAAGGATCAGAATGACATAATCAGAAATCAAAAGACGTTACGAAATTGGATGCGTACCTTCAACTTTGCACACATCACTAAACAAGAAAACAAAGCACAATGACCTGTTTGTTTGACATACACATGAAACGGTCTCTGACCGGTATCGCAATTAAAAAATTATTTAATTTTTAGTGACCTGGTTTACTACGTGGACTATTTTTGTTTGACCACAAACTGCAAAATAAGTATAATCATTGCCCCTAATTATAAATATTTGTTTCCTATGTTTTAATATTTAAGGGTTAATATCTGACACAACTAAAGAGCATCTCCGACCTTCTACTATTTTTTACTTTTTGCATTTTATACC